AGTAAAACGATTCAAAATGGCATTTTCTGACAACTTATGTGGTAGCCATTTACCTTCCTTATGAATCTTTCCCATGGCAGGCAAGCGTTTTGAGACGGAGTAACATTTAATTGTTTCGACAACTCTAAAAGCGTTTGAGCTGGATTCTCATCAAGCAATTCTTGCAGCTCGACATCTTCAAATTTTTTTGGCTGTCCTGGACGTTCTTTATCTCTCATATCAAAATCACCGTTTCGGAAGCATTCAAACCGAACTCTACATGTTCTTTCCGATGGAGTTTCATCACCATACACTTCGGATAATAAGCGATGCGCTTCAGCTGCGGTTTTCTTGAGGTCGAAGTAGTGAAGAAGTACATATCGGAAAAACAGCTTATCGCGATTCATTTTCAATTGATTGGAAAGTCTCTTTGGCGTCGAGAAATCTAACCTGTGATGATTGAATCACTTTCAGCGATGTCTAAACTACAAAAGACATATGACTTCATCGTCGAAACTCGCCAGCGTTGGAACCAGCACCCTCTAGTAGCAAGCGATAGGAATTAAGTTTAACACCTAATATATAGTATATATAGTATATATATTAGTAATTCAAGATTGAATTATTTTAAAAAGGAACGAAGATCCAACTTCGACCATAATAGGCATTTAAATTTCTAATATAAAATACATTTAAAAAATGGAACAATTTCACTTCAAGGAAACTATTATTGTCGCATTTTTTATTACACATTATGATATATTTATTCTTTGTGTATGTTTCGATAATTTGAATTGTTCATGTAATTAAACAATTAATAATAAGTTTCTTAATCGATAAATCTCATTTTGAAAAATAAATTTTTTCTGAAATTTTGTTCCATGCGTTTTCTTTTGTTGAGATAAAATAAAAATGTACAATATTAAGGGATTAATTTTATATCTTTAGGATAAAGGAAGATGTTAATAAAAAGAGGCCAATTTTTGCCTATAAAATGTAAGTAAAAGGAATACCATTTTTTATAGATTTTGACCTTCTGAATACGATAATGTTAATAAAAAGTTCGGGATCCGTGAAAATTGAGCATGAACATCATAGATTTAAAGCAATTTCAATATTCTTGTTTACGTTTCAAGGTGTTCTTCAAATGCCACAAACTTTTTAATAATTTTATTATATTCAAAATCTACAAAAAAGCACTATTTCTTTACTTACTTTACTATCTTTTTGGACAAAAATCTACCCTTTTTTGGAGAATATAAAAAAAATCCGACTTTTGTTCAAAAGAATGTAAGCAAAAGAAATTGTTTTTGTAGATTTTTAATCTATTCTACAATGTGCTTTTTGTTTCCCGTTTCTTGTTTTTAACGTTTTGCTTTTTTTCTCCTTTACAACTGTTTTATTGACAATTGTATTACTTGCTATGTATTTCTTGTTTTTTCGAAATTTGTTAATTTTCATCTTGGGCGACATAAAACAAAAAACTGGGTAAGAAGCAAAAAGACAAGATGTAAAAAAAATAGCAAAAAGCAAGAAACAGGAAACAAAAAACACATTAAAGAATAGGCTTTAACCTCCTAAATGATAAAATCATTAAAAAGTTTATAGGGGAACACTTTGAAAAGTAAATAATATTGAAATTTCTTAAATGTATCATGTTCATGCTCAATTTTCAAGGTGTTCCCTATCAATTCCAAACTTTTTGTTAACTAATGTTAATGCAATTTAATGTATGAATACAGTAATTTGTATTCAGTTCAAAATCTATAAAAAATGCTATTCCTTTTACTTATACCTTTATAGGTAAAATGAACTCTTTAGAATCCTCCTTAGAGCAGCAAAAAAAAGTTGCTTATTACATGTCAAAATATCCTCTATGTATTGTCTGTTTTATAATTTTTTAAATTTCCAAGTTGGGGATCTTTCCTTGTCAGTATCACTTGTATAAAAATGGAAAATAACACTAATATATATATTTAACTTTAAATCCAAAAAGTATAACATAATATAGCTGCAAAGAATGGAATTAATATGTTCTTAGTATAATTCTAGACATACCTTAGATTTAGCTTTTTGAAAGACATGATTCTCCATTTCAATGCTATTCTTTGTCGTAGGCATGCCAGATACTTGTATTGCTTCATCACTGTTATCAATAAAATGTTTGCAATTATATATCAAATAAAAAATTAGAGTTATTTTCTTCAACTGCATTATGCACATTTTATAAAATGGAGAAACGATAAAAAAACAATTTTAGCAAAAATTTACAAAAAACTAAATAAATATAAATATTAGAAAAAAGAAAAATGAAAAGAGCAAATTTATTTAAAATTAATCAATTGAGCTCATACATATAATAAGTGTTTCATGTAAAAAATATATATGTGTATGTGTGTAAATAACAATACACCATATAAAAGGTAAATTTATTTAATAGCCTTAGGTAAAATTACTTTTTAAATGATAATTAAACTTTTAATACCAATTGATATAAAACAATGTTTTTGCTTTATAAACTTAACTAACATAATTGACTTACATTTTCGCGACTACGCTTTGACGAAAATGTGGCGTTTTCCAAGAATCGTCTGTGGCCATGATGACTGTATCTCTCAATTACTTACAAATAAATAAAACTAAAAAAAAACAATATCGAAAATATTCAATATTAATTATTATAATATATTTAGGGATAAGGTCTCGCTTACAGGCCTAGATACTAGTAACTAGAGATGCGACATTGCGTCGGTTGGGTTAGGTCGTCATCGCCATTTTAATACAGTATATAGGCCGCAGCACACACTCTTGCATAACGCATACTGCATAGTGCATAAAAGAATCAACCAATCAAAATTCTTCTTTTAGGTACATATTCTTATGCATTACGTGTTATGCGTTATGCAAAAGCTGTGCTCCCCGCTTAAGGGTGCCGTCACATGCGGCGTAACTTGCGTAAGCGTAACTTGCGCCGACCAATCATATCATTTCACTTGAACATCAATTTCTGTCTAGTCACTTTATGCTTTTTACGTTATTTTGTTGTTACGCCGAAACATGATAGAACCACTATGCGTCGAATCTAATTTCTGGCTCATTTTAGCTTATTGTGTCTGAAAAAATGTACAAGGGTTTCAATTTTGCAACAGTACAATTATAAAAGTCGTGCGCCTTTTTGCATCGCGTGAAAAGTCGAAATCCATGTGGAACAGTACAATTATAGACCTCATTTTGCCTCTGTAACAGATTTCCTAACCTCAATAGTCATCAACTTTAAAGGCCTAAATACAATGCCAGGCAATAGCGATAGTATAGCGATAGGAATAATATAGAAATAAGAGATACATAAACTATCGCCTCCCGTTGCACAATGCGATGAAAGAAATAAAGGCCAACCAATCAGATCGCGTACATACTGTAGTATGCTCTTCTGCTTCAGTAGACGTAACCTAAAAATGTTAAATCATT